CCCTATTTGAACGAGTGCACCCCACACGCAGGCCTGGGAGGCCGGTGAGGCCCATGCCACCTGACAGCCTGTCCTCACGTCCCTCAGATACAGACGAGCTGCAGAGCTCACTTAGGAGAGGACAGAATCCGCTGCTCCAAGGCCAAAGTCAACATAGGCTCCATGCGCCTTCCTAATTTAGGCATCAGCGACTAGTTGGCAGGAGGGTCATGTGAGACCAGGGACACACCGGGCTGCTCAGCTCAGCCTTGCTGGCCATCACCATTGATGTTTATAGACAATAGCAGATGGCAAGTTCTGCCAGGCTGCCCCCTGCCCGCTCCCTGGCCCTATCCTGGGCTCTCACCACAGACCCTGCAGCCGGGCTTGCTGGCCTTGTCCAGCTCTCAGAGGCCATGCCTGGGATGCCTGAGCCTGTGGGTGACCTCCCCCCCACTGCAGGTCCCCCCCAACACACACACATTGAGCATCTTCCATAGGGAAAACCACTCTGCCTGTTTCCTCCCGGGAGATCGGACGAGCTCAGGTGGGCTCTGCAGGGTGGCCATCCTGTGGCCCTTCCCTCACTCACAGACAGACTCCTGGGCTCCACCGGGTCCTCAAGGTCACTCTGGAGACGCTCTCTCAGACAGCCCTGCCCTTTGGGTGGGTGCCCCTCTATGGTAGTCTCATCCAGTAAGTTCACATGTTGGCAGGTTCAGTGCCCAACTGGGGCATTGATTGTGACCTGCTCAAGTGGGGAGTCGCTCAGGAAGCTTTTAACACTACCTTTAACAAGAGGCAGGCATCCATCACCTGACCATCCTCTGTCAATCGACAACATCTGCCTCGAAGCAGTTCTGCCACCTGCCCGAGCCCCCATGCACACATCTAATGCTGGGGAAGGAGTGGGCCCAGGCCTTGCGCATTCTGGATGTGCTTCACACTGAGCTACACACTCAGTGTAGACTGGGGATCTTTAAGGTGAGGCTCCCATTATTTTACACACAAGCTTTATATTAGGCTTAGAAAGAAGAAAAAAAACAAAATATCACACACTAAGAGATAAAATGTTTTCTGATAGGGATGGGAAGAAGGCTCAGTGGTAGAGTGCTCGCTTTGCATGCATGAGGCCCTGGGTTCGATTCCTCAGCACCACATAAGCAAAAAGAAAAAAAAGCCGGAAGTGGTGCTGTGGCTCAAGAGGTAGAGCACTAGCCTTGAGCTGAAGAGCTGAGGGACAGCGCCCAAGCCCAGAGTTCAGGCCCCACGACTGAACCCACCCCCCAAAAAATGTTTTCTGATAACCTAGAAGACCAAGGGCCAACTGGGAACCAGCAAGAGTGGCTCTGAGCAGCCATCAGTGTTAGTGATGATTCAATGTGTGTGCGATTGCATATGTACATGTGCGTGTGCACACACATGTTCTGGGACACATGCTGTTGCTGAACTTTTCTGCCTACTGCTGGCACTCTACCACTTGAGCCACATCACCACTTCCAGCTTTTTGCTAGTTAAATGTTAAGAATGTTAGCTAAGAATCTTGCATAGTTGTCTGCCCTGGCCAGCTGTGAATGGTAATCTCAACCTCCTGAGTAGCCAGGATTTTAATGTTGACTGTGAGCCCTAACTTGTCAACTCATTCTGAGAGTGACTCAGTCCAGTAAAGCCATATAACATGATTCATTATTATTACTGTTATTTTGTAACTAGGTAGCTAATATTCAGATAATCTGAATGTCTGTATTTTTCTGGAAACACATCTAGCTAAAGATTCACCTGAACCTCAATGCTCAGAGTCTTGAAGGTCTTGTCCCTATGCCCACATGGGTGTCTGTAGCCGTGAATGACAGGCTGTGAAAGGCAGAGGGGTGTCCTGCCATCATGCTGTCAGTGACATCAGGGTATGTCCAAGGCTGTGGCTGACAGAGGGTATCTGGTCAACAGGCTGTGATGAACAGAGGTGTGTGGTCAACTGGGCTGACTGAGGCCTGGGACTTGGACTTTCTCCAAAGCACCGAGCTATAAATAAGTGACCAGGAGGTTTTTCTGGTACCTAATTTCAGCCTTTGCTTCTCACTGCTCCTCAGTACCCGTGACAGATTCAGAGCTGGGAGAGGATTTGGGAGAGCAGGCGGCTAAGCTTCTGTTATAAATTTTCAGTATAAACAGATTAAAAAGGAGACTGGTGAGACAGTTGGATAACATGAACTATAATAAATAGCATTAAATTGCAATAGGTTGCCACTGTGTTGGATAACAGCAGTACCTCAAGGTTATACCTCCTGACTAAATGAATGTAATGGCTATGGAGCATGCGCTGAGGAAATTCACTGAAATACTTATGAGGAAAGGGAACAGTGCCTGTGGTTTGTTCTTGAGTAATAATAAAATAGAAGGCACACTGCAATTTCAGACTTGGGAAGGCAAAGAAAAGTGTTTTAAATGAAATATGGCATGCCTGTGTCTTGGGGAGAGGAGACTTAGAGATGGGAAGTGACATGATTTGTTTTTTGTTTTGATGATACTGGTGTTTACATGCAAGGTTTCTCACTTGCTAGCAGGTACTCTACCACTTGAGCTATTCCTCCAGCCTGACATTGAATGAAAAGAATGGGTGTTTAGAGTTTGGCAGAGTAGAACACACCTGTATTCACAGCATTAAGGAGGCAGAAGCAGGACTGCAAGTTCAAGGAAAGTCTGGGCTACACAGTAAGACTGTTTCAGAAAAAAAATTAGAGCTGGGGACTAATGGTACATGCTTGCAATTCTAGCTACTCTGGGGGCTGAGAACTGGAAGATCACAGTTGAAAGCCAGCCCAGGCAGAAAATTCTGTGGGACTCCATCTGCATTTAACCAATGCTGGATTGAAGCGCTGCAAAGCTGATCAAGAATGAGGCCCTAGGTTCAAGCCCTAGTACTGGCACAACAACACTAATGGACAATTTAAAGCCCTATCAGGGCTAGAGTATATAAATTATGGCACACTCATACCATTGAGTACTAGAAAGACTGGGAAATTTTGTGTGTGCACAGGCATGTGTATATATGTGTGTATACGGAAAAATATTTTAAATGTGTATGCATGGACATGTGTGTATGTATGTGTGTGTGCATACAGGAAAATATATTAAAATCCAGGATAGTGAAAAATGCCAAAAAGCAAGTTGTTATCCACTATATTGCCTATCTGTGTGTGAATATAACACACAAATACACATGTCTCTCCTCCCACACACAGCTCTGATCCTGTGTGTGGAAGAAACTTCTGGAAGGGTGTATAAGAAAGGAACTGTGGCCTGTGTTCTGTGTGTGAGTCCTGTGAGGGTCTGGGAAGCTCATGATTCATGTCACACCAATGGTATCATTGCATCTCTAACGCTGTGTGAATTACTTTTGTAATAAAATCTAAATCAGCAATATAATTATTTCTAACATTCAGATTCAGTATTCACCTCATTACTTTGCATGGTTTTATTTTTCTTTCCAAATTTGTATTTCTCTGCAATAGCAAAATAAAATTCGGGAACTTTGTGACACCTAAGAATTTCACTTTGGCTTATAATTTTACTTTATAATCCGCTTATGAATAGACTCACATTTTGATTCTCACCAATAGATCAAATTCTCCCAAACTGCCCAGGAGGTGGAGCCCACGTCCTCTGTCCACTGGGGCAGCTCCTCCCCTGCTCCGAGGGCTGAGTGAAGGACTACTCTTGGGGTAAACCGGTGACATGGAATGACATACTTCAACCACCGAACAGTGCTGTGGTGCACATCTAGGAGAAGCTCCAACTTACCTTAATTGGGTTTCCTTCCTGAAAGTGGACTGTCTGCTAAAGTCTCCACACCTGCTGCTCTTGGCTCGGGAAGTATGTAATAGGAAGCCCCTCGGCTCACGCCCACTGTCTGGTTCTGACTGAAGAGTTCACTTATCCAGAAATGTAACCTGCACACACTTGGCCACACCTGCTCAGTGCAGAACAACAGACTCCTACTCCACACTGCTCTGTGCTGTCCTGCGAAATGGAAGCCATGGGCTCAGGTCACGCCTGCTTCCTTACCAGCCAACGGGAAGAGGGGCTGGGTAACTGTCGGAAGCCCCAAGATGCCCTGAGCCTGTGCTGGCAGTCCCCCTGCACTGCTATGTGCTGCTTGCTCAGCTGTCTATCACACACATCCCAAGGGGCGTGGGGAGGCGTGTCACATCTCACCCAAACCATCTCCCCAAAGCAGATGCGGGCCATGGAGGTCCACGCACCAGCCATCCCTCCGCATATCTGTAGGGAGCCCGTGGTCCTCTCCCTAGAAGTGAGAACTTAATGAAAACACAGAAGCAGCCTCACTCCCCAAGCCCAGTGCTCAGCTAATTGCTGCTGAATCACATCAGCCACCACCTAAAGAAAACTGTGTACAAAGCCACTGCCAGGGACAGGAGCAAGTGTCCTCCAGGTCTCAGCCCTGTCCTGATCAGAGCCTGCAGGGCCACTGTGGCTGAAGGCCTCCTCTGCACTTGAACCTGACCCCCTGAAGTGCAATCTGGGGACCATGGGAAGAGGCAGGCATAGCGATAGGAGAGTGGCCACTTCCTACTTTCTCAGGAGGCTGATCCAAGAGAGACTGGTTTACCATCTAGTGTGACTAAGCCTTGCCTGGTGAGGCTAAACACAGTATTTTAGGTGCCTCTCAAGGGACCCAAAAGTGATGTGTCTCCACTGTGGGACAGGAACATATCTTCTAGCTGGTGAGCTGCATTCTCTCCTCTGTGACTAGGCAGCAGGCATGCTAGCAGTCAAACCACATGTCTACCAGGAGGTAGGAAAAACCACGTGCTAGTGGCTTGTGACAGAATAAAATGCACCATTGTCCAAAGACACTCACAGCCACTGTATTTGGAAGGAGTGTGGCAACCACAAGGCAAGGTTGGTAGCGTGAGGTAGCAGTGGAGGCATGGGAAGGGACTCTCACAGGACAAAGTATTTTATAGAGCAAATTGGATTCTGAAGTTGGGGAGGGAGTGGTTAACATTTAATTGTCTGACTGGACACCCTCCCCTACAGAGGCTACAAGCTTGCATGTGGAAACTACAGCTGCCTTCTGGAAGGGGAATGGTAGAAATGCTTTACTTCTCCTCCGTGGACAAGCGGTGGAGGGCTGAGCCCAAGTCCTCCAGTCTGCCCTTGTGCTCCAGGTTCTGGTACAGGCCCTGGGGGACGGCATCCAGGCCATGCAGCAGGCCAAACAGGCAGCCGGCGATCATGCCTGTGGCCCCACTTTCACCTAGAATGGAAAGCACAGCGTCCCAGGGGGCTCCATGCACAGGGCTCGGCTCCTTCCAGGCCCAGCTCCATGAGCCTCGTGGGCTGATGGCCCCGCAGCCACCATACTCCATGAGCAAGGCCCCCATGTCTCCTCCTCCCTCCTTGCGCCTGTGCACCTGCCTCCCTGACCTACAGCTCCCTCAATCCATGCCTGGCTCTGCTTCTCAGAATTGAGGGGCATGTGCCCATCATGTACTTCCCACAGACTCAAATGGTTTTTGAAATTTGTCTGAGTACACAATTAGGACACCCTTCGTGAGTTTGTTTCCAAATTCAAACGCAAAGAGCCCTGCTATCTCTAGGATTGACAGTAGCTGGAAATCTTGGAACCACTGTGGGTTCCTGCCCCCACCATCCCTGACACCCAGGCCTCTCCAGCTATGCCTCTGCCTCACAGGCCCCCACCAGGGCTCTTTCCCACATGACCACTGCCATTCAGCCTCCATTCACAGGCTGCTACTGATTCTTGGCAATATCTCGTATCACTCATATCCAAGCACGCATGTATACATGGACACTCAAGCTTACACCCACAAGTATACACACGCACAAACCCACATGTGCACTCACATGCACTGTCTCATGCCCGGGCACATTTGCGTACATGAGCCCTGTGTACATGTCTGTGTGAGCACGTGTGTGTGTGTGTGTGTGTGTGTGTGTGTGTGTGTTTGGTGGGGAGAGAGTCTGGAAGGGTCAAACAGGACCTTGCTGGGGGGAGGGAGGAGTACCAGGGTGGGAGCCTGGGAGCAGACATGTCTAAAAACCCAGGAAGACTGGCGTTTTTCCTGGGATAGGCTTGAACCTTTCCCAGACACCCAGAGCAGGGAACAAGGTAAAGGAAGGGCTGCTGCATGCAGCCAGGACTATGAACTCCTGAGGCTACTCTCTCCATCCTGAGAGCAGGATGGTTCTGAAACCAGCTGCTCTCTCAGGGGGAAGGGCACCAGCCAGCTGAGGGTCTCTTCACGTTAATACATTGTGACATACAATGAATCTCAATTCCTTACATAATTTTCTGTCATCAACAGAGGGCTCTAGCCACAAACCTGCAGTCAAACACAGATGCATTCGCCTCCAGTGCAGTCAGTAGCGAAGAGCTCAGGAGCAGGTACTACGCTTCAGGGTCTGCCTAAGCTACTCAGGGTACACCCTAGCTCCTTGGGCCATGCCTGGCTCCCAGCAGTTTACTCCTCCCACCCTCTCAGCTGTCTTCAACACAGTGCTCTGCACTCACTCCACCCTGCATGCTTTCAGTGAAGAGGGGACCCAGCAGGCTGCACTGCTTCCTTCCATCCACCGTCCCCCTGCTTTCTGCTGGCTCCCCCAAAAGCCCATGGCTGGGCCCTGAGCAGTGTCAGCACCTCCATTGTGGTGCGCACAGAGTTGAGAGGTGTTGGAAGCACCTGGAAGCCACGATCACAGAGGGGGACCCTCACCTCTGTGGAACATGGCCCTGTTGCACAGCTCAGCCCAGCTGCTCCCAGCTGCAAGGAGGGCGTCATAGGCTATCATGGGGGCATCATGGCCTCGTCGTCCGCCTCGGCCTTCTGAGCTCCATTTCTTATAGGTCTGAAGAGAACCATGGGTCAGCGTGGTTCCCAGCCCAAGATCCCAACCATTCCCAGAAGCCGCTCTGGGCTACCTGCCCTGCACACTGGCTGGGCACTGTGGTGTGCAGGCACACCCAGGGCCAGGCCAGACTCACCTTCTCTCTCTCCTCTGCATCATAGTTGTCAGGAAAGGTGGCTTTGCCTTCCATGTCTTCACTGATTTTTCTCTCCTCCAAATAAAACTGCCATTTAGCTTCAAAGTAAAACCAGTGCTCCTGGTACTCTAAACACAAGCACAGGAAAGGTGGGCTGATGGTGCCCAGCAGAGGTGGGAGCAGGACGGACCGCCTGTGCCCAAGGATGCTGTGCTGGAAATAGGAACTTTGCAACATGTGGCTGCTTTAAACGACAAGGAAAGTGGAGATAGCACAACACAGCTCTGCAGTTGTTTAACTGCATTCTAAAACCAAGCAGTGATTGCAATATTGTAAGGGTATTCTCTGGAATGTTTTAAACCAAGAATTTCATTATGTAGGAATGAGGATGTAGCTCAGTGGTAGAAAGTTTGCCTAGTAGACATGAGGTCCTGAGTTCAATTCTCAGCACTGAAAAACACAAACAAATGAACCCAGGCACCTGTGTCTCATACCTGCAACACTAGCTACTCAGGAGGCTGAGATCTTCAGGCTCCGGGTTGTAAGCCAGACTGAGCAGGAAAGCCTGTGAGACTCTTATACCCCATGAGCAAGCAAAAGGTCAGAAGTGAAGCTGTGGCTCAAGTGTAGAGCACCACCCTTGTGGGGGAGAGGAGACAGTACTTTTCTAAAATTTTTCTGCTTTTTTAAGAGAGGCAAAGGGGGAATCTTAGAAAGAGAGGGGGGAAGTGTGGACAAACACAATCATAATATTCAGTATACTATGTGGAAAATGAACTACACAATTTGTGGGCAGGGACCCATGGGGACTGTGAAGGAAGGGATGACATTGTCCAAAAGAGATATATAGTCATTACCTGAATTGTGAAATAGCAACCTTTTTTTACAACACCTTAATAATAATAAAAAATTATATATTATTTATTTTTTGGTCGGTTGCAGGGCTTGAACTCTGGGCCTGGGCTCTTTTGCTCAAGGCTAGCAGTCTACCACTTGAGCCACAGCGCCACTTTCGGTTTTCTGGAGGTTAACTGGAAATAAGAGTCTCATAGACTCTCCAGCCTGGGCTGGCTTTGAACCATGATCCTCAGATCTCAGCCTCCTGAGTAGCTAGGATTACAGGCGTGAGCCACTGGTGCCCAGCAATAAAATTATATTAAAAAAAAAGCCAAGGAAAGGAGCTGGGAATGTGGCCTAGTAGTAGAGTGCTTGTCTAGCATGCATGAAGCCCTGGGTTCGGTTCCTTAGTACTACATAAAGCAAATCACAATTTAAAAAAAGCAAAAAGAAATAAAATTAAAAGAGGAAAAACAAAAAAAAAAAGCCAAGGAACAGCACCCTGGTCCTAAATTCAAGGCCATTAGCATGTCACTCATATCCACAGAGTGACAAGCTTTGGGTTAACTATGGCAGATGGAAACTCTGGGGGTATATGCCCTCACAGGGCACAGACCCCTAGGGATTTGGGGCCTGGGGACTCATGGCACAGGCAAGGCACCCCAGTGTGGGAGGCAGGCTTGGCCCTTCCTTTCTCTGTAGAAACGGGTCCCTTCTCTCCTGCACTAGACATCCAGGTCAGCATGAAAATTCAAGTATGGGCCCAAGCTGAATATGTAGTTAGACAAAGAGTGGAGGAGTATGGTAGTCTCTGCAGAGGCCGTGAGGTTCTAGGGAAGAAGTTTCTGCCCCTCTGTGCACCTAGTACCACTCTAATCTGGTGTTTTCCCTCTACTAGGTGAGAACCTTCCAACTTCACAGGGTTAATTCCACTTAAACCAACCAAGGGGATTCTATATCTTGTGCCTCTAGGTGTAGCCAGTAGTGAGGGGATAGAGCTGAGCTTTGGTCTGAGCAAGTGTGCTTGTGTGTGAGCTGAGAACAGCCTCTTTCCCATGAGGGAATCTGGAGGGAGCTGAAGAGGAAGCTGGGCTCACCTGCCATGTGCCGGATGGTCTTCTTACAGTACTCCTCGGCCAGTGGGACTGTCCGCAGCATGTCTCTCCCCCATTGCACAAGTGGTTTTCCTTGTATGGCATAAGAGGCAAACAGAGCCGTGCACAGGGACCCAAGGAACCCTGGAAGGCAGCAAGAAACAGCTCTGTCACCTGGCCTTTCTCCACCCTTGATCAGCACACACTGGAGGGAGAGGCCCACCTTTCCAGGGCCACTGTTGGGAGTCAATGACTCTAAGCACGGCAGAATCCACCATAGGCCAGGCCACAGGGGAGGAACACTCAAAAATGGCTTAGAGTGTGGCTATTCACAGAATTGATGCCCACCAGTGGCTTCAGCGCTCTCGTCTAGAACTCAACAATGCGCCATCTCAGAACAAGGGGAAAGGCCTGGACTGGCAAGCCCAGGTCTGGGACCTGGGGCTGGACTTATCCTGACCACATGTACCCTTGGTCTCCCTTCATGGGCCTTCCTTCCTACACTTTTTTTTTCCAGTCGATCATGGGGATTGAACTCTGGGCCTGAATGCTGTCCCTCAGCTCTTCAGCTCGAGGCTAGTGATCTACCACTTAAGCCACAGCACCACTTCCGGTTTTCTGAGTAGTTTATTAGAGATAAGATTCTCATGGACTTTCCTGCTCAGGCTGGCTTTGAACCTCGAGCTTCAGATCTCAGCCTCCTGAGTAGCTAGGATTACAGGCATGAGCTACTGGTGCCCTGCTTCCTTGGGACGCAACACCTCAAAGGCAAGAAATATAAACTCATTAATTAGATAATAACAATTGTAATACATGCTACCAGAGGCAATAAACTACATAAAATCAAGCCCTTTAAACACTTTTGGTCCTCATCCTAGCAATGTATGGACCATTCAATCATTATGCATATGACTAATATTTTTCAAATTTTAAAATGTTTTAGAGATACAAACTCTTAATCCAGATCCCTGCATGCCGACCCCTGATAGCACCTGCTCAGTGTTTTCAGGTCTGCATTTTGAATTCACTTGTGATTGTAGCAGTAGGAAGTAGGTGCTGCTTCAGCACCTACTGCTTGTCATTGGGGAGGAGAGTGGACAGCAGGAGTGAGGCCTGTGAGTCCGGAGGATGCTCTCCCCATGAGCTCCACTGCTCACTGCGGTTCCCATTTGCACTCAGATGCTTTCTGGAAAAGCCCATTGGCTCTTCTGCCTGCCGGGGGAATGTCACAACAAACATGGGAAAGCGGCTGCAAAAGAGCAGCCCTGGGGGCCGGGAAGGTGGCTCAGTGGTAGAGCGCTTGCCTTGCATGCCTGAGGCCCTGAGTTCGATTCCTCAGCACCACATAAGCAAAAAGAAAAAAGCCGGAAGTGGTGCTGTGGCTCAAGTGGTAGAGCGCTAGCCTTGAGCTGAAGAGCTGAGGGACAGCGCCCAGGCCCAGAGTTCGGGCCCCACGACCGGACCCAAAAAAAAAAAAAACAAAAAAAGGGCAGCCCTGGAAGCTGTGTGTGAGGCTGCGGCAGTAAATCTGCCGGCCTTGCCTGACATCCCTGAGCATGACTGGCAGCTTTTTGAGTGGTTTTTTCTTTTTCTTTTTATAACATAGCTGACGGAGCCACAGCCTCATGATCTTCCTACATTCCTGCATTACTCACTGGGGCCTGTCTTGGGATGTGGCCGGCTATGCTCTGTCAAGGCACCACCCCTGGATGATGTGGTGGTGGCCACTCTGTGCAGACCGTGTGGCAGCCTGTACTTGGGGACTACTTACTGTGCTCACCATAGCCCAGAAACGGGGTGTGATGGCCATCCTCACTATCTCCTCCTAGTCCGGGAGTAGACAAGATATGGCTAGGCTCTCTGTGGTCCCTGGAAAATATGCCAAAGTGGGACCAGCTCTGCCTCCACCAGACAGTATGGTATCAGCCCAATCCCTGGTGACTGAGTCCTACCTTTCATTTCTGACACGAACAATACTAGAAACCAAGGAAAATTCTTGCCCTTGCACAATTTCTTCAATGTCACACCACACTTAATGCAAGTTTACTGTCAGGAGGAAACCAAACAGACATTAAGAAAAGCTGAGGATAACAGATGAGCAAACAGTGGATGTGATTGCCTGAGAGTTCTAGTCCTGTGCTGGGAGCCAGAGTCACATAGAAGCAGAAGCAAGCTTAGATGTCACGACATCATTCCTGTCCTGGCCCATCTTACCTGTGGGATGGTTGTGGGTCATTCTGCCACACTCGATGCTGACTTCAATGAGGGTCTCCAGCCGCTCTGGCTTCCAGTACCTCATGCCAATGCACATTGCTTTAGTGGCAGCTCCAAATCCTGAGCCTGCATGGGAGATAAACACCTGAAATTAGACTCCTATCATCTCACATCCAGCATCTGGCATTCATAATAATTTCTAAGTGCGAAAACTTATACAGTGAGAGGGAAGTATAACCACAACCCCTCTGTACATCACCTCTATAAGAACAATAATTTTTTAAGTATATAGTAACATGTTCATCAGAATTTTACTTAAATAAATGAACAACAGACAAGCCACTCAAATACCTAATGAGGGAAAAGAAATTTAATAGGTTACGTCTGTAAGAATATTGAAAGTTATTCAGCCATTAAAAGCAGTTTTTGATGGCCTGGGGATAAGGTCAAAATATTCTCCTAATCGATAAAAATAAAATGTAAAAGACAGGGCTGGAAAGGTGGCTCAGTGGTAGAGTACTTCCCTTGCATGCATGAGGCCCTGGATTTGATTCCACATAAGCAAAAAAAGCAGAAAGTGGTGCTGTAGCCTAAGTGGTAGGGCGCTAGCTTTGAGCTGAAGAGATGAGGGACAGTGCCTAGGCCCAGAGTTCAGGCCCCATAACTGGCAAAAAGAAAAAGAAAAAAGAAAATGTAAAAGACAAAATTGCACATATGGTGTTTTTTCAACTATATATATTTTCTTTTTAAAGTTATGATTGTATTATATTTGAGATACACTTATAACTCACATCATAATTGATATACAATATGCAGCATGTGTTTAAAGTGTGGACTTGATAACGCACAAGCACATGGACCAGGAAGAGGGATGCAGAGTAAGACATCTGCATCTCCAGCCTCTCACAGCTCCTGCACATGTGATTTGAAGGCTAGGGGACTGTATTTTCTGGACTCTGCATAAGTGTGATTACACAGAACAACTTTCATGTAACTTAGCTCTGATACTGGGTCTAATTATTTTAACTATCCCAGCCACCTGTTGAGATGTAGTCTCAGGAACTTTTATGCCTGAGCTGGCCCTGATCCTCTGATCGCTACCTCCTGAAAGTAGTATAATTACAGGACTCAATCATTATGCTCAGCTTCCTTTCTTCTTTCTTGTGTTGAGATGGAGTCTTGCTGTGTTGCCCAGGCTGGTCTTGAACTCATGTACTTTAGCAATCCTCCTGCCTGAGTTACAAGCAAAATCACTGTTTCTAGCTCTTTATTTTCCTTGTAATTTCTGTAAACTCTATAGTGGACTAATGAAAAAGAAGGGTTTTTTATTTCAAATCAGAATAATTGCCAAGCACCAGTACCTGATAGCTCTAATCCTAGTGACTCAGGAGGCTGACTAATCATGGCTCTAAGCCATCCTGGGCAAGAAAGTCCAAGAGACTCTTATCTCTACCTAACCACAAAAAGCAAGAAGTGGATCTGTGGCTTACATGGTAGAAGCTAGCTTTGAGCACAAAAGATCAGTGTGCCTAGGTCTAGAGTTCAAGCTCCAGGACTGGCAAAAAAAAATCAGAATACTTAATTCAAAGAATATAATGGCAACTGTTTTGGAAATATTTGTGTGGGTAACAGACTGATGTGTTTTATGATTGTAATCAATATAGTGTCATGTACTAATGGCCATTTTATGGGTTTTTTTTTTTGCAGTGCTCAAGACTGAACCCAGGGCCTGAATATTATTCATATCAGGCAAGCAAGTGCTCTGCCACTGAGCTACAGCCTCAGCCCTGAGAAAATATTTTCATATGGACAAAAACAAAAAAACAAGGGCCGGGTGCCGGTGGCTTACGCCTGTAATCCTAGCTACTCAGGAGGCTGAGATCTGAGGATTGCAGTTCAAAGCCAACCTGGCCAGGAAAGACCGTGAGACTCCTATGTCCAATAAGCCACTAGAAAACCGGAAGTGGTGCTGTAGCTCAAGTGGTAGAGCATTTGCCTTGAGCTGAAGAGCTGAGGGACAGCGCCCAGGCCCAGAGTTCAAGCCCCATGACCTACAAAAAAAAAAAGGAAAATGAAAACAACTATTTATAAAAGAGAGTAAGATTATATGAGAAAAATGTTAAGCCAAAAAAGATGATGCCAAAATTTTTCATCATGTTTTAGACATTATAATGAAATTATGCATATATTTTTTAAAGGGACTTCTTATTTCCTAGCACTATCTATGGAGACAGTGACCAGCTGCTCTAGGTGCTCTGAGGGGAGGGCAGCACAGGGTCTGAGTGCTGGGAGGATACTCAGGAAGGGCACCAGCATCATGAGGACAGAGAGAATCTCCAGGTTTGCCCCTTGCACAGGACTTGGCATAAGTGACTGGGCCAGATCACTGGATTGATGTCTTCATAACTGAGTTTTTTTTAAATGAAAGCTCCAAAAAATTTAAATTACATAATAGGAAACATTCAGATAAAAAAAATACTTGCAGTAGGAAACTGGAGTAACTGAGAAATTCATTTATCAGAAACTATTCTATATATCCAGGCTAATGCTCCTTTGTGAGCAAATACTTAAGACTGTAATTAGAGTAATGGGTGCAATTGTCCAGCATGACAGAAAGCCCTTGGACTTGTGACATGCTTCTGTCAGTCTTTCTGTGTAGGGTGAACAAAGGTGGTTACTAATCTATTTTAAAAGAAAAAGTCAGTGAACTGTTCATTTTCCTAGAGCAGGATGATAATTTAAATTAGAAACCACGTGATCTGATTCCAAACTTGTGCTGTTACAGTTCAAATTTGTCCCCTAGCATCCACATACTGAAGCCTTGTAGTCAAAGCATAGTGTTCAGGGGGAGAAGAGATCTTTGCAGAAGTGAGTGGACCCTGAGGGCTGGCCTCATCAGTGAATTGACCCACTGATGGACTCACAGCTTGAGGGGCTACTAGGAAGTTGTTGATTTTGCAGGAGGTGGGGCCTAAATAGAGGAAATATGTCACTGGGATATGTTCTCAAAGGCTATGTTCTGTCCACAGCCCTTTTCCCCGCTTTCTGCTTTTCTCTGCTTCCAGACCACCACCAGGTGAGCAGTTTACTCTACCACACTTTCCCTGCCATGATGCTCCACTTTACCCAAGACCTGGAGACAAAAGAGCCAAGTGACCATGAACAACACATGAGCTCTCTCATTGTGCACATTGCTTCTAAAAACACAGCTGGAATGGATCCAGATGCACTGGCTGACATCTTGCAATAATGCAGTAGTTTGGTGAATAATGGTTTACCAAACTTTAGTAAGGGGCTTTCCATAACTCAACATATAAAACTACTTAATATTTTAAAATATTTTTAAAGTATGCCAGTGAATGATGCACCATATTAACTTCCAAGTTCTACTGAGACACAAAGATGTCCTCCAGTGTTTTCAATACACGTGATGATGCACACACCTCTGTTCACTTGTTTTAGTATGGCCTCATCAGAGCGACTTAGAACCTCTATAATTGCCAGGTAGTGGGTGTGTAAACTAAATAATTTGACAGATAATAACCTATTTTCCTGTGAAGAAGTTGTGCCATCTTTACCCTGTCTAACAGGAAGCTCTGTGTACTCCTCCCTATGACAAAGGCAATGATCCTATGACTCTCCAATTGTAGCCAGTCTACATATGCTCAAACATCCCCTCCTGGTGGTGAGAAGCCTGTGCCTGCTCAAACTGCCCCTTTGGCCCACCAGGGGCTGCCAGAGTAGCTCTCCTGGTCCTACTTGTGTTCTGCTATGTTCCCTTGTTTCAGGCATTCTCCCAAGCTGAGGCGCCTTGTCTACTAAAGCTAAGTCCAGGTTCCCAATGTCCCAAAAGCTTTGGGGGAGGGGACCATAGAGCAGAGGGGCTGAACTCTGGGCCAGATGTTCAGCTTAGGGGCCTTGTTCTCCCTTAGAAAAGGGCCCAGGACACAGGGCCAGGATGGAAGGCTCCTAAGTGGCAGAGGCTGTGGATGCCTGCATGACACTCCCACAAACACAAAAGTAGCATCATGGAGATGTGCAGACAGATGGCACAAATTCTTACCAAAAGGCAAACTCCAAGGGAACACAGTGAAAATTAGTCCTTAACAGAAACAGAAATGGATGGCAGGATCCAACTGGGGAAGCCTGGGTGGTGCCTCAAGGACAGATTCCTTCAAACACACATGGGCACATGGGCAGGGACACCCAGCAAAGGGCTCCACATAGACAGAGTCCTCCAAACCCCACCCATATGGGCAGGGATGGCCAGCAAGGGATACCGTGTGAACAGAGTCCTCCAAACCCCACCGCATGAGCAGGCATGGCCAGCAAGGCCTCCAGGCATCCTACGGACGCCATGGTGGCAGCAGGTGGACAACCCATGAGACCCTTAGTAATACTTCTGAAGAAAAGATGGGTTCCCTGACCCTTTTCACTAAAGGGCGTGTGCCAGGCCAGGAGGTAGTTATCTGGCTTCAGCTGAGAACAGCCCTCCACAGTAGCTGGGTCTGGCCGATATTCTGGAAGCTTCTCCACCGTCTCCACGTAGCGCTTCACCATCTCCCGATATAGGTCGTCCAGGCACCAGTAGTCTGGGAAGAAAGGGTAGGAGCAGACATTAGCACAGACACTGGTGGACAGGGCTTGGGTGCAATGATGGACTCCAGCCAGTTGTTATGGAAGTAGACCATCTCACACCTGCTACCTGGAAGTATTTAATGCACAGGTCTCCTTCCAACCCAGACCTCACAGATGTTTGTTTGTCTACCTATTCTCACATTATCTGAGAATCTAAGGAAAACCTGCCAACTTCATTTCCCATGTGAGAATGGAGCCAAAAATTTGTCTGTTTCTGGGCTCAGAGAACAGACATGGTTCCTGTGACAGAGGCTGATTCTGGACTGGCACCAGCTCTTGTCTCTTCCCACAGGAACCTCATGCAGTACAAGGCCATTATTATCATACCATGTCTGGGAACAAGTATGGGATCAAGTCCCAAATGGATCATGGAGCAAAGAGGGCATAAAGAGCCAGACAAATCTGACACCCACCCCAGCCCAGCAGAGTATGGACCAAGTGCATCTTAGATGCAGATCTTTCCACAGCAAAATTTGTCATTCTGTTCCAGATAAGGCTCAGTAATGTGGTGTTTTGCCTACAGACAGAGATGATGGATTTTGCACAAAGGCAGAGTCTTCTGATCACTAAGCTAGACTACTGCCTAGAGGACACAGGTAGTGCATCTCAACACTAGAATCCAAGACATCTGGCTGTGGCTGTAGAGGCCCTGTACCAGGGGAGGCCGGTGAGGGGCTGTCTTACCGTACTCTTTTTCACAGCCACCAACACATCATTATAATGTACAAAAGCTGTTCTCATGGACTGGAGACTATCATCAGGAGATACCACTGTCCCCCTTTTCCTTGGCCATGGTGCCCATTTTGGGAGCTGCTGGAGGAGATGATGAAGGCAGAGGGCCACTTGTGTCAGAGAAGTAGGACAAGAGAATTCAGAGGTCATGTTGTGACTTGTCCAGAGCCTGGCTCAGGTCCCGTGTTCCCCTGTGCACAGCCCTGAGAAGAAGGTCAGGGGAAGTTCTAAACAGTTGAAGCCCCCACCCTTACTATGAACCATGGGGAAAGAAAGAGCTTGTCCCCAGTCAACTCGCAGAACCCTGAGCACTGACGCAGCCCTTCGGACTCTTTCCTGGACCACTGTATACCTAGCTGAGTGGGAGCTGGGGGAGGGAGGGGCAGGTAGGACCTTGCTCAGGAGGAATGAGTTCTGCACATCCTACGAGAGTGCCACAGACACCACTGCAGGCACAAAACAAGCCTGTGATGTGCACAGGACCCCGCTGTGCAGAGCTGGAGGGTCTGGGCAGGCTTCTGGGAGTCCCAGAGTCTGGCAGTCATTTGCCAGTACTATCTATTACAGCCCTTATTTCCCTCCATCCTGGCCAACCAGATGGGCACTTTCTGAATCCTCTAAAATTTTTCTTCTGGGATTAGATACTATGAAATCTCATACTTAACTGATAATTGGAAATTTTTATCAAAACAAAATGGAAGCAAAGATCCTTATGTTTCCAGGTTAGAATGTAAACTAGAAAGTAGAATGTAACCAGAAAATTGAAAAGCGTTTCAAAAGCTTCCAATTGTGGGACTGCTGTGCTATATGGTACAGCTACCAGTCCCATTTTCCCTATTGGTCTTGCATTGGAAAGATAAATCTGTTTAGAAAGCTTCCCAATGGTTCCCAACCAACATTGAGCCAAGCAACATGGCTCATGCCTGCAACCACAGCACCATGGGAGGAATAGACAGAGGTATAGATTGAGAATCAAGACCAGCTAAAACAAGTTAGTGAGACCCTATGTTAACTAATAAGCTGGACATGGAACTGAAACCCTGTCAATCACCTACAGAAGGCCATGAAACCACTCTGGCAAAGTGTGAGGCCTTACGTGAAGCATAACTGAAGCAGGAAGGACTAGGCATGTCTTGTAGCTGCCAGACACAGCTGTGTCCTGGGTGCTACATGACTTCGCCAGACTGCACTGTGCTCACTGCTACAGACCACATGGCCAGGGCTCAGAGGGCGACAGCCTCATGAGTAACGAAGCTTCCTTAAATGTGCTAAGTGCAGCTTGTCCAATTCCGCCTGTCTTGGGAGAACAAGCAAAGAGCCACTGTACACTGTAATTTTTTTGGGGGGAGGGGTCCGGTCATGGGGCCTGAACTCTGGGCCTGGGCACTGTCCCTCAGCTCTTCAGCTCAAGGCTAGCGCTCTACCACTTGAGCCACAGCGACACTTCCAGCTTTTTTCTTCTTGCTTATGTGGTGCTGAGGAATTGAACCCAGGGCCTCAGGCATGCAAGGCAAGCACTCTACCACTGAGCCACCTTCCCAACCCTACACTGCAAGGCCCTTTGTGTGGCTGTGTACTGATACACTGGCATCAAACAGGAGGCCAGCTTTAGGACTAAGGGTCACCTGCTTGTAGCTGTAATACACTGTAGCTTTGTCTCAAAAGCCATGTGTCTGGCAGGCCGTTATCAAGGGGAAGGGGATGCATTACAGCTTGGACTGCTGCAATATTATTTTAATCTAAAGGAGCCCATCTGCCCAAGAAGCAGTGATATTTGGATCTCATAATTATGTAGCATAAAGATGCTTCACCACCAGACTCCTCTTGTCAGCTCTTGCTAGTTTCAGAACCAGTTGATGGCATTCTTATACAGTGATGGCAGAATCAGGAAATACTTGGATTTCACAATGGTCAGAAAGATACTTCACCATTCTCCACAAGTTGTGACACCTTATCTTATCGTCGTGCCTTAGCTTGCTATTTTGGGACATGGCATGGATGGCATTCCTATACAATGACTGCAGCGCTAAATGGAGCATGTACACGGCAGACAAGTGGAATGGTCAAGTAAATGCATAACTGAAATCCACTGGCTTTAATAGCTGCTCTCAAGCCTTCACTCTGAAATGATAGACTAATAATATCTACAGGATCCCAAAGAGCACAGCATGTATAGGAAAGTTGTGTATGTGTATCTGTTTTTCTGAAATTCATATACAACTTTGGTCATCCTAATACTAATCTACTCCTTACTGCAGCATTTTCTTAAATACATTTATGTAAAAGCAAGGTCAAGCTGTCATTTGAGATATGTGTGTGTTTGGTATGCACACACATATGCACACACACACACATGCCAATACCTGGGCTTGAACTCAGGGCCTAAACTCTGTCTCCAAGCTTTTTTGCTCAAGGATGGCACACTATCACTTGAGCCATAGCTCCACTTCCGGCTTTTCTGGTGGTCAGTTGAAGGTAAGAATCTCATGGACTTTCCTGCCCGACCTGGCTTTGAGTCATGATTCTCAGATCTCAGCATCCTGAGTAGCTAGGATTACAGGCTTGAGCCACTGGTGCCCCGCTAAACCACAATTCTTTGGAAATCAGACTCAATCCCCAATGATACTCTAATGGGAAAATTGTAATGGAAACTATAATTGTATAATTTCAAGATGGCTCGAATTCCTACTTATCTTAAAAGAGAATATAAAGTATAAGACCAACTCAACAAGAAGCGTCAATCTCTTGCAGTACATAGCTGTGTTTGCCCCCTGCCCCCACCTCCATGGCTCCAAATGCACCGTTTGCCTGGGATACACTAGCAGAAACTGAGTGCTAGCTGAGCTGACGCTCAACAAGTGGAAGCTGCGGTTCAGCAGCTGAATCTTCCTTATCCATCAAGATCACAGGAGAAACATGACCTGCTGCCTGTATGATGTACTGAGAGACACCAGTGCATATTAAATTGCCACTTTTAGCAGTGGCATCAGGTAACACTGGCTCCTGGGTACACCGCCTTCAAGGCTCCAGTGCTTACTGAGAGCACATGAGCAGCCGCACACCATTCTCTTTACCGCACACCATTCTTTTTACCGCAACTAAGCAGAGCACTTTGTGGATCCTACCTGTGGTGAGAGCCTCGGCCGTGGCCATGTGCATGATGCTGTTGTCACTCACTGGCCACTTTCCAGGCGACAGCACAAGGTGGTTGAGTCCCCCAACCTTCTGCAGCTCTTCTTGGATGGAGCCTAGAGAACTGTTCTCCCTGCAGACATTCCCATAGCCAAGCGCATCACCCACACTCCCCAGCAGCATTGCAGCCTTGAACTTCTCCATCTTCTTCTCAGCTGCCTTTGTCCTTCCCCGCCACCCTCAGTCCGTCCTGCGGACACTGGTCATTGTATCACTATCCAGCACCCTCCAAATGGCCAGACTTATCTTTCCTGCTTTAGCAGGCACCAATGAGAAGGACTGAGCTCACCACGTGGGAGGCGTCTGGACAGCCTTGGCTCCCAGCAAAAGAGCACGTTGGCATGGGGCCCCATCCAGAGCAAGCTTGGAGTACTAAAGCCCTGGCTCTGTGGTCTGGAGGAGAACGCCCCCGTGTGGGCAGAGCAGTGCAGTACAGTGGAAATCTGTGAAGATGTAGTAGTGCGTGGTCAGGGCCACTATGGAGCATTCTCCAGGCTGCCCTGTCTTCATGGCTTTGCTTTTCCTAGAACTTTCAAATCAACTCAACGTACCATCTTGCCATTTCTAATGAATAGTTATTAGAAATTTCCAATACAGTAAGTGTGGTCTTTTGTGTCTGGCCACTTTCAGCATAATGTTGAGATTCATCTACTGGAGTTTCAACTTTTAGAAAACTTTTCAGATTATAAAATTGAGGGCAGGGAGTGGAGCTTGGTGGTGGGGCATTTGTCTAGTATAAATGAGGCACTTGGTTCATTCAATCTCCAGGGCTATGGGGGGGGGGAATCAATAAATCATTTTGGTAGGACACTTGAAATGTGTCTTCCTTTGAAAAAAGGTACAGTGTTTTCTCACCATTCAATGTCCAACAAGATGCTCCAGTGCTAGACTACAGAGGGGTGAAGTCTTAGCAGGTGCAGAGTCAGTGCCACCAACAGCTTTACACCACTTCACACACTGCTATGGAAACCAGTCATCAGATGAGGTGAGGTAGGCAGAAGTGTAAAACTGTGAGCCTGGCTTGAAATGAAATAAATTAGAAAGAAAGCTATACCGTTTTGTTCCCTCACCTTAGCAGACACCACATTCCTGGCTTTCATCCCTCCTGGATGTAAAAAAGGCCTCTAGTAAGACTCTCAGGATACAGAAAACACAGCAAGATACCCTTGAGCAAACACAGTTGACTGCAATTCTGTAGAGTTCTGTGAGCCAGCACATTTTACAGATCTGAAACCAACAGCCCTTCAAACGGGGTGGTACACAGTGCCTGCCCCAATAAGACAGCAAACACAGAAGCAGCTGGCAGGGCATCTGTGGCCACCTGCCTCAGGGGACACTGGGTAGCAGTGTCTGCAGTCAAAGGAGCGATAGTCTAAGGCTGACTTCTTGACTCATGGGCCGCTGAGGAACATCCATACTACTCGGCCCACACTCCCAATAGCAAGAGAAGGCTCACTAACCTGTTCACTATGACTCAACTTTGTGTTTAGAATGGCAAATAGAGCAACAACAACAGAAGACAAGTTGATCCTAATCCCCACTTATGAAGCCTAAAGAAATGTGTGGAACACTTTTAACAAAACCTGTTACTATGGGGCTGAGAAGGTGGCTCAGCAGTAGAATGTTTGCCTTGCATGCATGAGGCCCTGGGTCCGATTCCTCAGCACCACATAAGCAGAAAAAGCTGGAAGTGGTGCTGTGGCTCGAGTGGTAAGAGTCCTAGCCTTGAGCTGAAGAGCTGAGAGACAGTGCCCAGGCCCAGAGTTCAGGTCCCACGACTGACAAAAATAAACAAAAACCTGTATTATATCACTCAGATACAAGGATGATGTCTACACCAGAAATTCTTGGCAAGTACTAGAACAGGAAATATGTACCTCTTAAACCTATTATGTTTAGTTAATTTGTTTTCAATCTGTCTGTACATTCTAGTATGTACCTCCTATAGACTCCTCTATAAAGTAAGTGTGCTATAACTTCTGACTTGGAACAACCCTGATACTGAGAAAGAAACCTAGAGTGATTGGCACTGTCTGCATGGGACATGCGTGTTTACCTGGGTGGTAAGTCAGATGCAATATGACTGAGTGGCTTGCTTCCTGGTTGCTATCCAGGAAGCTTTCTGTAAGGACAAAGAGTGTCTTGTGCAACAAAGAATAAAGGACATCGCAACACAAGGGAAAATAATTTATTATAGTGCTTCTCAAGTTCTCAGCATCTTTATCACATGCATGATTCAAATGAAAATAAGAAAGCACAACTCTGAAGAGGTTTTGTCCAATTACCAATATTTAGAATCTGACAACCTCATAGAATTTTAAATATTAAAATAAATGTTGAGTCAGAGCTTAAAGGACACACAGCAGAGCTGAGAAAGGTCACGTGGCTTGTCCTCACCATACCACTAGTCATGTCCTCTCACAGGGAGGATCCAGTTCTTCAGAGTCCGGTCTGTCTCCACCCCTCCACCCCTTTCCCTCTTGGAAGTTCTCAGTGTCTCCAATGGATTCTGTTGCAGGCTATGCGCATTTCAGAGCTGTTTCCTTAAGCTAGGGTGTATCTCCTTCTCAGAGACCACTTTGATGGCCCAAGTGGAGCATACATTCTGTATACAGGTGTTGAGAACCCATCCTGGAGTGGCCCTAGCCACTCATCTGCAGGCCGTGTTGTAGGTAGGGCAGCAAGGCACGCTGTGATACCAAGTCTTGGCAAATGTGAGGTAGGGTCAGCGCAGTAATGTTCAGAGCCTGACACTAGAAGAGCAGGCGACACCTAGGCCCTCCATGCTCTGTGCATGAGTGGTCCTTGGCCAGACAAATACCACAAAGTCAGATGGTAATATGGTACAGACTGTGGCTCGTAGATGAGATGAAGGTTTGAGGTGAGCGTAGGCTTTCTTCCAAACATACGTGTCTATACAAAGGGCTGGACCCTGGACACTGTGGATATCACAGAGAGGTGAAGGGAACTAGTGCATTTGATTTTTAAACCTTAATGCACTCAAAAAGAAATGCTTTTCATGGAAAAATGTCTCTCATTTATCTATAATTAAAAACTAAACTTTTCAGGAGGTTCAAATAACATCATTAGAAGTAAAGCACACCCACTGGCAGGTAAACAGCTAAATGAGTGTCACTGGAATCACAGCTTACCTGTGCCTGTCACTGCGCATCCTGAAATAGTGCATAAATCCATCAAAGTACTCATATAAACACCAGAAAAAAACAAAAGCAACGCAGATCTGATAAATCCAATGTTTGATAGTTCAAAAAATAAATAAAATTATGAATTCCTGGTACCAAGATTTAAAAACAACCTTCTGATAAGGTCATCTTCATTAGGGCACAATTTGAAACAGCCTTGATTTCTATAAAAATACATCCTATTGAGGGCATAAATACTGTTTTTAAGTATAGTTATGGTACATTTGTCTTAATCACAAATTAAACATGTTCTGCAGCCTGCAGACAGGCTCTCTACTAGTTCATGTAAGTGTGAGGTCATGCAGGAGTCTCCTAAAGCAGCAGCTAGGACAAACCCTAACTCTGAGGCAGCCATCCTCAGTGTGCACACGACAGCCACAGCCTTCAAGCAGCTTCAGCTTCACGACTGTGCGAGGGACTTCTTAAGTCGGTGACAGACACACAAGGCAAGTGACCTCAAGTGACCCCTTGCAGGATGCGATGCACATTACAATCTCAGCCTTACTTTTCCTCTTAGAAAGGGCGGCGCTTCCCACCTGTGACTACTGGCCGTGCATATTCTACAAAATCATCTATAAGGACAGGCCACGCTCCTAAAGGAAAACAAACAGATTTAAAGTATCAGTTAGAACAACATTTTTATATTCAAAGTACTTTTTTTCAAAATCTGATACATAAAGGGTCAGATCTGAAGCTTATCCAGCTTCCAGCTTAAGTTTCATTAAATGAATGGCTAGTTACCCTTTTTTTTTTTTTTTGGCCTGTTGTGGTGCTTGAACTCTGGGCTTGGGCGCTGTCACTGCACTCTTCAGCTCAAGGCAAGCACTCTACCACTTGAGCCACAGCGCTTCTTCCGGTTTTCTAGTGGTTTATTGGAGATAAGAGTCTCATGGACTTTCCTGCCCGGGCTGGCTTTGAACCGCGATCCTCAGATCTCAGCCTCCTTAGTAGCTAGGATTACAGGCGTGAGCCACCGGTGCCCAGCTAGTTACCTTTTTTTTTGTTATGGGGCCTAAACTCTGGGCCTGGATGCTGTCTCTAAGCTCTTCAGTTCAAGGCAAGTGCTCTACCATTTGAGCTACAGCGTCACTTCTGGTTTTTTGATGGCTTATTGGAGATAAGAGTCTCACAGACTTTCCTGCCCAGGTTGGCTTTGAACTGTGATCCTCAGATCTCAGCCTGAGTAGCTAGGATTACAGGCATGAGCTACTTACGCCTAGCTTCCCAATTTTTTTTACACCAGGAAGCCGGGGTCAGCAGATGGCTGGCACATGGCCTGAAAGGCTTGCACATTTGCACACTGCAGTTTCCAGAAAAGGACTCACTTACTCAGGGGCGGGTGAGGGAAGGTGATCACAAGCTGCCTCTCTGCCATCTCCACCACAAAGGCTCAAATCTGACCAGCTTCTGCCAACTCCAGCAGCTCATCTGCTGTACTAGGCCTTCCTACCTTCTGCCCACAACTGTCCTGTGTATACAGGCCTAATCTTACCAACTATAGAAAAAAATCCTGCAAGCTAAACTGTCTCCATTTTCATATCCTTCTTTCAGAAGCATTGATTAGCCACCTGATGGGAGCTAAACACTGTGTCTAGATTTGAGGACAGACATGAGCTGAACTAGCCAGGGGCACAGACAGGAAATGAATGCCCCTAATGGCAGGGCAAAGTGCCCCAAGACACAAAAGTGATCAGCAACTATGTCCAGATCTGGCTAGCCAAGTCGGGAAAGGAGAGGGGAGACCATCCACCTATAACTACAACATTCTCAGGAATAATTCAATGTCACTGATGCAGGGGCCTCTGGCACTGAAGGTGATACTGTAGACATGGATCTGTGTAAGCAGAAGAGGCTGGCATCTCCAATTCAGCCTAAAGGCACATGGTTCTGTGGTTTACAGAAGCCAACAAGGAAGTGGTGCCCTGCCCTATGCCTACAGAGCTGGTGTCCTCAGCTGGCCATCTTCAGGTGTGCCGCCCTGGAGGTAGGCAGTCAGCATCCACAGCAGGTATGAGCATCTGGCCACCCACTGAAGTTCTACAGCTACTAATACCTTCTTCATCGTAGTTAGACATATCATCTGCAATCATGTTTCCAAAATCTAGCAGAAGGTTCCAAGTGTCTCTTGGAATGGATCTTTTGTGGTGCTCCTAATATGTAAGAGAAAAAATAATCCACCAGATTAAGTTAATTCCAACATCCTAATGGCCAAGTTATCCTCTATAATAAGTAGTCCTTCTTAATTTGATTAAGTATAATCACAAAACTTCCACAGATAGAAGTAATCATGGTATCTTACAGATAAGGTATGAGCTATAACAATGCCAATATCCAAGTACAGAATTTTGATTTATCTAAAAAATTAAATACTAAAATTATAAATTCCTGATTTATATTTCAGATACAACAAAATCAGTAACATGAGGGAGACTAACTGACACTTATGCCCTAAAGATGTGGTGCTCTGCAGCTGGGGCCCTGGCTCTCTGCTTGGATGATTCTTCCCTTTTCTCAGTCTCCCTAGAGGGAGTCATTCCCCAGGATAAACCATGCCTGTTTGTGTATGTGAATATAGTCCTAGACTACTGGTAAGCTGGTCTTACATTTTTCTGTTTGCTTTTGTATCAGTCCTAGGGGCTTGAACTCAGGGTATGGGAACTTTCCATAAGTTTTTTGTTCAAGGCTAGCATTCTACCACTTGAACCACAGCTCTACTTCCAGCTTTTGGGTGATTAATTGGAGAGAAGAATCTCACAAACATTCCTGCCTGAACTGGCTTTGAACTGCAATCCTCAGATCTCAGCCTCCTGACTAGCTAGGATTACAGAGTGAGCCACGGGTGCCCAGTACTTGTCATTTATTTATTTATTTATTTGGGTCCTGGGGCTTGAGCTCACGCAGGGCCTGGACTCTGTTCCTGAGCCTCTCTTTGCTCAAGGCTAGTATCCTACCACTTGAGCCACAGCACCACCTCTGGCTTTTTCTGGGTATGTGGTACTGAGGAATATAACCCAGGACTTCATACATGCTAGGCAAGCACTCTACCACTTAGCCACATTCCAAGCCCTTGTCTTACATTTAAAAACACTAATTCCTACAGAATTCTAGGTAACTTTCAACAACCTGGTTTTCTCCCACCCAGTACTGTATTTGAGAAGTAGCCAGACTAACATGAAAACCTAGTTTATCCACTCTCACTGCACTGTCATTGTGTTCTAGTCTGTCCACAGTCTCATCTTCCACATCTACTCCCATTCCATAATCACTGGGTTTGTTCCAGAGTTTTGGGGTCTCTACCATGCTGTGGCACCTTTCTATCTCTGTGCCCATGAGTGTAAGGTTCTCTGGGGAACTCCAGTTTAGGTGAGACCCCAGTGAGGAGTAATAGATTCTCAAGCATAGTGTTACCAACCACTGAATATTTTAAGAAAAGTAACATGACACACAATGTAAGGAAACCCTTGCTGGGAGGCCTCCTCCATATCTGCAGGATTTTACCACACCCTCAGAGAGTCTCTTGCTTTCCACAGGCCATGCAGTGTGTGTGTGCTATCAGTAGATGAAGAAACCAAGGTACCAAGAAGTAACATGCTCAAGGCCACGAGATTTGCCAGTGGCAGAGCAGAGCATGTTGACTAGGTTCCTAAACAGAAGAAAGCAGAGTGTGCTGACTGGGGTCTTAAACAGAGGAGAGGAGCATAGCGTGCTGACTGAGGTCCTAACAGAGGAGAGGAGCAGAGTGTGTTAACTGGGGTCCTAAGCAGAGAAGAGCAGAGTGTGCTGACTGGGGTCCTCAACAGAGGAGAAGAGCAGAGCGTGCTGACTGGGGTCCTAAACAGAGGAGAGGAGCAGAGCTCCTCAGCAAGGCTGCAGGCCGTGCCATTCAGGCAGCACAGCAGGGCTAGGCATCTCTTGTCACCACAAGGACTGTCTTGCTGGAGTCAGGACACCAGCTCAGTCTGTGGCTGCCCCTGCTGCCCTACCAGAAAGGGCCCTGCAGAGCTGCAGTGTTTGTTTACAAAATCCATAAAAGCCTCCTTTCCTCCTTGGGCATAGTAAAATACATTTCAATATGGCTTTAGGCTACAGACACACACAATGGCCAGGACAGCTCTGCACAACAAGATCAGAGCCAAAGTCCTAAGCTGTATCAACTTGCGATAAAAGTGGTCTTGGTACTTGTAGCCTCCCACTCAGCTGAGCCACTGCAGCATTCCACAATAGCAGAATGGGCTGTGCAGCACTTGCACATGTCCAGGGGGGTGGCTCTGCACGAATTCCTTTACTTAAAACTCCCATGGGTGGGAGTTAGATTACATTCTACCTTAGGATTGCTGCCCTCCCCTTCCTCTATGTGGCAAGAGATGGGACACTTACCAGCAGAAATGTATTCCACAGATCTAAAAATTTAAACCTTCCAGATAATACTAATTTCCAATATGCAACAGCCATTTCTAAGTCTGGAAGAAAAAAAAAGAGAAAGAGTAGTTAATAAATTTTAAACTCTTTTCCACTGAACAAAAATGATATTTACTTGATGAATAATGTTTGGGAACCTTACCCAAGTCATGTAAGACCCAATCTCTACACAAGTGTTCCTGCAAGTGTAATCTATGTAACATAATTTTATAAATTTTAAGGAAGCTTCTTGAAAAAAGGATTTGTATGTTATTTAAACCTGCAAGTCCCCCAATCAATCAGTTTTGGAGATTCACACTTGTACCAGGATTTAAGTTTACCCTAATCTGGCTAGTATTAATGTATTTTACTTATTCTGAAAAATAGGTCACTACCCTCTCCAAATGGTAAAGCTGAAAATTAAACAAGGGAGGGGACCAGATGCTCTTCAATTGGCCTGCCTTGTCACTATAAAAGCAAAGACAGTCTAATGTTTTACAATTAGAGCAAGTCAGACAGGCATTCTAAGGACTTTGAATTTCTTATTGCATAGTCAAGACAAATGAACCCACACAAGGTAACTGTTTTCACTGATATAGGAGATTTAAAAATCTAACTTGTTGAACAGTCAAAGCCAATGTCTCCATTTTCACAGAATTTTCACAACTGCTATATAAATGTATGCTTAAAGGTTTTGGTCTTAAAGATACCTGACAGAAACAGATGCTGAGCTTTTAGGGCTATAAAAGAACAGTATCCTCAATTCATTTGAGTACTGATTTAATAAGCACTACTTTTTATATGCTTGACATATCAAATACACAAAGGGGCTTAGAAATTTCATTCTTGAAACTATCTTCATCATTTTGAATACTTACTGCTCATCACTGACCATGACAGTTATGCTGAAGTAGTTTCCTAAACAGTGTTTATGTATATATATCAGAGAAACTAATGTTAAGCACAAATGAATAAATATATTGAAGTAACAGATTAGTTTAAATGGAAAATATCCCACAAAATACTTTTTCAAGGCTACTAGATCTGGCTAGATCCCCACTTAAGAGATATTATGGAAGTTGGAAATCTAACTTGAGATTTCCAGGGTTGATCATTAATGATACTGAATATGCAAACCTTGAGTGATGAACACCAATCTTGGTAAGACACTTATTCCCTATGGGTTTACACTTGTTGTTACAGACGTACTCTGACTTAAGCACCCTGAAGTCTCAAGCAGAAAGAAGACAGAGTCAGAGTTCTGAGTAAGTACATGTGGAAGACTCTCTAAACCTTACCTATGGGACCCGAAGTGTAAGACTAAGATGATTAGTCTTGTCCTGCTTATAAGTCTACATCCTTATCCCTTAGGAAGAACATTAAGTGAGATCTATATTCAACTCATCTTAATGATGTAAAGCGCTCACACTGGGAAATGAAGGAGAACCTGGGGAGGAAAGAAAAATAAAGTTTTATGGCATACATTTATAATCTAGTACTTCTGGGTTAGTTTTGATCCTAAGAAACCTTTCTTACAAAGTACCAGATATGGATGTGTGTGAATCACATGACTAAAACGTAAATGTATACATTTTTATCATTTAATATAATGTATGTAGCAATGTCACATTGTCCTACTAGACCAATGGCAAAGTAACAATGACAAAACCAAAATAGCAAAACTTGAGACTGAAATCAGGGCAGTGGCTATTCTAGTGTTACATCATTTTGGCAGAAATTTTCCTTCCATAAAATTCTTTTAAAATCTTACTTTTTGATTAAGAAAATGTTAGAAGGTATTATTACTTAAAATTTATGCTTGTAGTACTCCATTTAGGATTACATAAAGATTTGTCCTCTGTCAAAAAAAAAGGATCTTAGAGGAAACATAAAAACTGGCAAATAATTATGAAACCTCCTCAAATATCTAGACTCCCAAACTTCCTAGATTCCCAAAATCTAGATTCTTGAGAGAATAAAGAGGTGATATTGTCTAAAGAGAAATATACTATTCATCTGACCTATCTTAACTGTAACCCCTCTGTAAATCACCTTTATTATAACAATAAAAATTTTTTTAAAAAATCTAGATTCCAGACTCTAGAAGATACTGTTCTAATATAGACAATAGAAAGAAACAGCTGGGGATGTAGTTAACTGGTAGGGTACTCGTCTAGCACGCATGAGGCTCTGGGTTAAATCCCAAAACTAAAATCAATCAATCTCAAACTGTTCTCTCTTACACACACACACACACACACACACACAATCAATCCATCCATCCATCCATCCATCAATCAATCAATCAAACAAACATCAAAGAGTCAAATAATTTTACACCATTGATTAGGCTGACCATCAGTTAAGTTCAGGTTAAATGATCTCACATAAAAACAACACAGTAGGGCTGGGAAGGTGGCTCAGTGGTAGAGTGCTTGCCTTGCATGCCTGAGGCCCTGGGTTCGATTCCTCAGCACCACATAAGCAAAAAGCCGGAAGTGGCGCTGTGGCTCAAGTGGTAGAGCGCTAGCCTTGAGCTGAAGAGCTGAGGGACAGTGCCCAGGCCCAGAG